TGAAGGGTATAAAAAGAATAGAGGTAAGAAGGTAGAATAGAGGTAGACAGGTAGGCATAGATGGTAGAATTAAAGGTAGAAGGTAGAAATAGAGGTAGAGATAGAGGTAGAATCGAGTAGAAGGTAGAGATAGAGGTAGAAGGTAGGATAGGGTAGAATAGAGGTAGAATAGAGGTAGAATAGAGGTAGATATAGAGGTAGAGATAGAGTAGAATAGAGGTAGAAGGTAGAAGTAAGGTAGATAGAGGTAGAAGGTAGAATGCAGTAGAAGGTAGAATAGAGGTGGAAGGTAGAATAGCGGTAGAAGGTAGAATAATTAGAAGGTAGAATAGAGGTAGAAGGTAGGATAGAGGTAGAATGGTAAGAATAGAGGTAGAAGGTAGAATAGAGTAGTAAGGTAGAATAAAGGTAGAAGGTCGAATAGAGGTAGAAGGTAGAATAGAGGGTAGAAGGTAGAATAAGGTAGAAGGTGGAATTATGAGGTAGAACGTAGAATTAGAGTAGAGGTAGAATAGAAGTAGAAGGTAGAAACCGTTAGAAGGTAGCATAGAAGTAGAAAGGTAGAATATGAGGTAGAGGTATGAATAGAGGTAGACGTAGAATAGAGGTTAGAAGTCGAAGTAGAGGGTGAAATAGCGGTACGAAGGTAGAATAGAGGTAGACGGTCGAATAGAGGTAGAAAGGTAGAATAGAGGTAGAAAGTAGAATTAGAAGTAGAAGGTTAAATAGAGGTAGATAGGTAGAATAGAGGTGAAGGTAGAATATAGGCTCTTATTCTAAATGCTATGAGTTGGTATATGTAACGGGGGGAGCGGGGGACCCGCGTCGCAGCAGGGGGGAGGGGGACGCCGCGTCGCAGCAGAAGGGGGAGGGGACCGCGCGTTCGCAGCAGGGAGGGGACTGCAGGGGGGAGGTCCCGCGTCGACAGCAGGACTGCCAGTCAGCCATCAGATAATTGATGGATGCTTATTCGTTGTTATTCGTTTAGAATCCCTTCTCGGTGCCCTATCGTTGAATGCGTAGAATATAACACTTGTGTTCAGTACAGTATGATTGTATCTAATTACATGGCAATAAAGATTTAATGATAATAATACGTAAATAATAATTATTTTATTCATTATTATTATTATAGCGTGGACCCGGCTTCAGGCGGGTGATAACGCGTTGTGAACAATGTACTTGCGATTCCAATTAGAATCTTTTATTATAAATTATTGATTCTATTATTATATAATAACGTGTGGACGTCCGGCTTGCAGCGGGGGTATATAACCGCTCTGAAAAGTGTACTTGCCATTCCATTAGAGATCTTTTATTATACTTATGAATTGATTCACGTGCATGATGAATAACAGTCATAATTATAGATTATATTATCGATCCTCTATCCTATCGATCTATATTATATCTATATTATATTATAATAATTATAATTATGTCATCTAATATTGTCACACATCGACATATATTATCGACATTTGCTCGAATACGGTGTTGTGAGCGATTGCTCTGAGCTTAATGCACGTCGCAGGTGTGAGCAACACGGTAGATCGTAAGCGTTCTGACTGGTAGAGCACAATAAACACTGAAAGACTTTCTTATAGATGCATGGAGGGCGTAACTGGGAAAGAAATTGCTCAGTGCAATCTTCTCGCTTTCCCTTTGCATGCGAAGCGTTTGGGTTGTTGAGTGTAATATTAGACGATAGAAACATTGTCTTCCGAGTGTTGACACGACAATGTTCCGACATCAACGAGGCGATGCGCAAGAGAAAGAAACACCGAATGCGTCGAAGATTAGCAGATGAAGCTCTGCGTAACTGCGCTCAGCTGTAATTCTCATTCGTTGAGGTAAAATTCAAATATATATAATTACCACAATACGTCGCACTTCTCGATCGTGTGTTTTTTCTTCTCAATGTGTGATTGCGAACAGTGTATTAATCAGCATCTCGTGTTGGTCCTCAGAACGATGTAATCACAGCTCGGTCGTGTGGTTAGTGTTGTTGCGCCCATTTACCGTGGCATCCAAGATACGGGATCACTGGTGGCACACGTACGAACCGCAATTTACCGTTAAAGTATACGAGCGCCTCATAAACTTAATTACCGTAGAGAAGAAAAGTATTTCGAGTATCCCGTTTGAGCTGGTGTATTACCCGACGAAGCTATACAACCCAACGTCTGTCACTGCGAGCTCGGTCGCTCCTTGTAGACTGACTGCCGCTTCTATGACGTGAAGATTGCGTGCAATGTGGACACGACTCGTGTCGCCACGCGCGCGCTACTCTACTTTGCAGTAGCCACTGTCCGGTGTGGGTGACTCACCCCAGCACGTCCGCATCCGTCGCTCATCCACTCATCCCGTCGATTCAATCTTCGTAAAGGTCTTTCTAAGCTCATATGATAATATCTGCCCCACAACAACGAAACCACTCCGTCGATTCCTTGTCTGATTGTCGCACCTATAACCAAGATTTGGCCGTGCTCTTGCAGAGATAGATTGTGTTTGGTTCGAATAGGCTATGTTTAATTTTGTTACCGTAATGCCATATGTGTGAACACGTGTCTTGCATGGGTCACTAATTAACTCATAACGCGCGCGCCTTCTATTTATTTCAACATATTTTAATTTATCGGTGTTGACTTCTGATAAGCTGTAATCGGTAACCGTGTAAAATGGATTCGTATAATTTAATGGAGGATATATGGCAACATACGTGCACGTGTTTGCGTTTTTGGGACAGTCATTCGCTTAAAGCATCATGTATTATCACGTGAATTGTCGCCGGGGAAAATATCAGGAGTTCATAAAGACAAATACTTTATTCAAACTAGCTGTGGAAATATTATGTAGCGTTGTGGCCCATAAATATTCTTTCCGCGCCAATTCAGTTTACGTTGTCCTGCTTTCGTAGAAGGCACTCCTACAGCAGCCAAGGAGATCGAATGACGATTCGAATTCAAACGAATTAATTACATGCCCAAACGATAATAAAAGCTGTTAGCCACATAACCACAACTCTCACGATAAGTGCCTTAACAACGACAAGGATATATATTATATCCTTGCGGCAACGCAATATTCATATATAATATATATATATTATATATATATATATATATAGTCAAAGAGTACCTATAGAGATTAACTAGATGAGCCTAATTAGATTAATAATAGAGGATCTCTTTATGTACTGCCCTTGATATCACTCTCTCTCTCTCTCTCTCTCTCTCTCTCTCTCTCTCTATCTCGCTCTCTATCTCTCTCTCTATCACTCGCGCTTTCTCCCTCTTACCCTGGCTCTCTCTCTTTCTCCCTGGCTCTTTCTCACACACACACACACACTCGCTCTCTCTTTCTCTCTCTCTCTCTCTTTTTCCCTGGCTCTCTCTCTCACTCGCGCTTTCTCTCTCTTCTCTCTCTCCCTCCTCTCTCTCTCTCTCTCTCTCTCTCTCCTCTCTCTCTCCCTGGCTCTCTCTCACACACACTCGCTCTCTCTTTCCCTCTCTCTCCTTCTCTTCCTGGCACTCTCTCTCTCTCACTCGCGCTTTCTCTCTTTCTCTCACTCGTGCTCTCCCGCCTGATCGACCGCCTGTGTGCTAAATAGGTGAACGTATGTGAAACATATACGGTTAGTACTTACTGCATGTGACATATCCGTGACTAACTGACACCACTAAATTGGTAAAATGTTCCATGCACCTTAAGAAATTCTGAGAAATTACGAGGTTATCATCGCAGAACTCGCCATACACCGCCCATTCTCATGTCACAAAGTTATATGTAAACAAACACGCGTGTTGCGCCTCCGACATCCATTTCGAGGCCCGCTAAGCCAAGCATAAAGCGCGCGGGCAAGACGTCACATTGACGTCACATACGTCAATACGTCATGCGTCATACGTCATACGTCATGCGTACAAGACGTCACATAGACGTTCATTGGCTAAAACAATCGAGTAGCGCGGTTAGAGATTTTCGGAATTATTTAATTGTAAGAATCACTTCCGAAAGCGGGTAAAAATGCCAAATTTTTCCACTTCGGTGCGAAATACATCGGCCGGGCCTTTCATTATTTACGAAAAGCAAACAATCTCGCCAAACACCTACACGCAGTAACGGGTCACGTCGTTGACGCCCCATTCATGCCCATCAAAGAAGAAGGCGGGGCTTATTCTGATTACGAAAATGCGAAAATACAACAGAAGGACGTAGCGCGGTGCGCTAAACAG